CCCAGATCCCCCCGGGACCCCCGAGCCCCCGGAGCGGAACCGGAGCGCCGAGGGAAACGCCTCGGCAGGTGAGGCCACGCCCACTGACCACGCCCACTGACCGCATCTACTGACCACACCCACCAACCACACCCATTGACCACGCCCACTGGACACACCCACTGACCACACCAAATGACCACACCCACTGATCATGCCCAATGACCACGCCCACTGCCACGCCTGGCCACGCCCACTGACCACACCCATTGGCCACGCCCAATGACCACACCCAATGACCGCACCCATTGGCCACGCCCACTGCCGCACCTGGCCAGACCCAATGGATACACCCAACCAATATGGCCACGCCCACTAACCACGCCCATTGACCACGCCCACTGCCACACCTGGCAACGCCCACTGATCATACATGGCCATGCCCACTGACCACGCCCACTGGCCACGCCCACTGAGCGCACATGGCCACGCCTAATGGCCGCACCCGGCCACGTGTAATGGCCACGCCCATTGCCACACCTGACCACGCCCACTCACCACACCCAACACACATGACCACACCCACTTGTCACATCCATTGACCACACCTGGCCACACCCACTTGCCACACCCACTGACCACACCCAACACAACTGGCCACACCCACTGACCACACCCACTGACCACACCCAATCCATCTGGCCACGCCTGCTGACCACACCCTATGGCCACGCCCACTTCCACACCTGGCCACGCCCACAAGCCACACCCACTGCCATACGTGTCCCCACCCATTGACCGCACCTGGCCATGCCCACTGATCCCACCCCTGGCCACGCCCACCTGGCCACGCCCGCTGACCTCCCCTGTCCCACAGGTGACCTCGGCCGGGCGGGCGGGCCCGAGGGGGCGGGGCCGTTGATGACGTCATTGGGGATCCTGCTGCCCATTGGTACGGCCTGGAGGGGCTGGGTTTGGGTGGGGTTGAGGGAATTTTCTTCATGGAGCGTGTGGGGTGGTGGTTTGGATTTGTGCTGGGAACATAATACAGGAATATTTCTGTGGCTGCTGAGCAGAGTTTGGGGCTGTGACAATTCCCTGAGGAGCTTTTCCAGTGCCCAGCCACCTTTTGGGAAGAATCTTCTCCTGCAATCCAACCTAACCCTCCCTGACACAACAGGTAACACCCTCCAGATTCCCTCCCCAGGCCAGCTCTATTTCCTCTGGAAAAAAAAACAAAACAACAGAGACAAGAACCCTCATTTTCACTGAGAGCATCTCGTCCCTTTCTCTCTGACTTCAAAAGGCAAAACAAAAAGGTATTTTATGTAAATGTGGACATTAGAAACAAAAAATAGAACAGCAAACATCAAATTCCTTTTTCATAGGCAACTCAGCTTCCACTGGCACAGCTGCAGATGAAAGTAGCAGCTACAAATTAATATATCATAAGGTCTTACCAAAGGAACTGAATTGTCTCAAATGCCAAAAGTAAGACCAAAGACTAAATTATTTTCATTTACGGAACCGCAGGGAGGAATTGCTTTCATGTTCTGAGTTATGTGTTTAGGAGGAACCTAAGTTTAGCTTGTCAGCTTCTGACAAAAGTTAACAACAATTTCTAAAACATTTCAGAATCATTTTGAAACATGGTTTCAATGGGGGAAATGGAAACAAGACAAAATCACAGAATCCCTGCCTTTTTCTGTAACTGCTTTTATAGTTCCAACTCCTTGTATGTGTTTTCCTGGAGATGCCTGGAATGAAGAATCTGCCTCCAAAGCTCTTCCCAACCCTAGCCAGAAACACAGGAAAACTCCCTGACTGCTTAAAACTGTTACGTACAGATATTATGGCTTGAATTTCCTGAAAATGTGGGCACAGAAAACCCTACAACAGCTGGAATTTTATAGTGGACAAGTATCCTAAAAAAAATTATGAGACATTTTCATCTCCTCCTTACAAGAAGCTGTTTCAAAAGTGCATGTAATGGCCCCTTATCCATCTCTCTCATCCCTCAGTGGTTTTTTCCATCTCCTTTCCTTGGATATTGTTGTTTACAGTAAACCAGGGGCTGATTTGAACCAAAATTTGGAAGTGAAAGGAAAAGCCGCTGCATCAGTTTAAATATTCTCTTCCTTTACCCCCAAAATGCTGATCAGCCACCTGCAAACC